GAAAAGGGTACTAAACTGTAACGTGATATCTGTTATCCAGTATGACAGTGAATGATGGACAATCTCCTCAACGATGACAATGACAGCAACTGGCACAACTGTTGACTGACAAAGAGCTTGACTACCAAAAATACAAGTTGCTGCTTAAGATAAACACTTGATTAGTGAGAGCAAAAGAAATAAAAAGAAAACTCCTGCAATCAGTGTCGCCTACAACTAAGAAAAATTGACTTTGATCAGCGGGCCTCAGGGGATGCATAGCCGTAAAGAGATGTCTGTAACAGAAGGTGGACAAGCAGAAAAGACTGTTACGAGCAAATTGTATAAGAACAGGACATTGAAAAGAATGGCAAAATGCATTGTGGACAGACGAGTACAAATTTGAACATTTTGGTAGTAGAAATTTTCTAATCGTAGCTTATATGTGGCACAAGGCCGAAAGCAAGGGTCACCCAGTGAGAATCGAACTCACTACTCAGTCGTAATTGTTCTAGTGAGACCAGCTTGCTAACCATTACACCACGCCAAGGTGACCTCAGATTGATTTTCTAAGCGTAGCTTAGATGTGGCACAAGGTCGAAAGTAGGTGGCACCTAGTGAGGATCCAACTCACTATTTCGTCGTAAGTGTTTTAGCGAAAACAAGCTTGCTAACCATTACACTACGCCAAGTTGCACAAAACTGTTTAGTAGTAAGGGGAGACTGTATGTGAAAAGAAAAGTCAGGAGAAAAACTCAATGATGAATATTTGATTCCAACTGTTAAATACGGTGGTGGGTCTTTTATAGTATGGACTTGTTTGAGGTCGGAAAAAGGGCTGGATATTTGATTCAGTTAAAGAGATACATGTAAAGAGCCATATCATTCAATTTTCCAAAGCCATACTATACCATCTGTTTACATATAACTGGAAAAAAATATTACTTTCCAACAAGACAATGATCCAAAACTCTTTTCTACGTAATGTCAAAATTACCTCGAGTCAAAAGAAAGAAACAATCAGAAATTAAATATGGAAGAGAGAGTTCTGTTTTATATTAGTGCTGTGTCTCATTCATCGCATTTGTGTCATCAGTAACATTACTAATTTATTTATATATTTTTATACACAACAGTCATATGGTAAAGATTATACTTATTCGAATTTTCAGCTTGATATTCTTTAAGTATGGATTTTAGGTTCGTAGATGCGAGCTTTGAGCTTTCTGGATATTACTTCTTTATATCTCTGCTGATATCTCAGGCTTTTATATTATAAATATTATATTGGTGAACTCTCCAGAAACCTAAATGCCCGCGTCTACGAAGATATTGATATCTACGTTAGAACAATCCTCTTCGCTCGTAACACACAGAAATAAAAAAAGGCCATAACTTTGATTGAAATAATGCCACGCCAATAAGAAAAAAATTACCACAAAACATACGCATGCGCACATGCGCACAAATTATCACATCCCGTGTAGACCAAATTGTATTGTGACACACAAATACACACGAAATATAAACACCTACACTACCAGACAGGTAAGGTCTACTTAAACAATTACAAACAGACAACAAAAAACTATATAAAAAAATACCAGAGCGTTCTCTTCTGTATTTAATTTCTGATGAAAATAAAATAAAAGCGAAACTTGTTAATTTATAAACGTTTTCTTTTGGTCCCTCTCTTATCATTCTAAATCATATTTGATCCCAATTCCCCCCCACACACACACGCACACACACACGCACACACACTCTCATAAATATAAAAGTGAACATTGAAGTCAACACTCAGAGGCGACAGATTGCTTCATGCTAAACGCAATCATCAGTGGCTCTGAGTGTTGTCTTCAATGTTCACTTTTATATTTGCATATGCTCTATCTCTAATATTGAGCAATTTTATCCCATAAATACAGGAGACCTTAGAGAGACAGACAGACAGATAGATAGATAGATAGATAGATAGATAGATAGATATGAACAAAGATATAGATAGATATGAATAGGCTATTAAAAATAGATAGATAGATAGATAGATAGATATGAACAAAAAGATAGATAGATATGAATAGGCTATTAAAAATAGATAGATAGATAGACAGACAGATAGATAGATATGAACAAAGAGATAGATAGATATGAATAGGCTGTTAAAAATAGATAGATAGATAGATAGATAGATAGATAGATAGATAGATAGATAGATAGATAGATAAAATAGACATAGAGAGGCAATATATATAGAAAAGATACAGATAGACAACCTAATGGCGGTGGGAAAGTGACTGAAGCCGAGCCCCTAGATCAGGACCAATAATATTGCTGATGCTTCTTTGGATTTTATGAAGGAGCTCTAAGTAACTAGCAGGGTCACCGGACCATAGGCGGCAGCAATATTTTTTACTACATAGTGAACCTACTTCCTTAGCATATATATTTCTTACTAATATATATATATATATATATATATATTGCTATAAATGTTATTTTAGTCGATACATGTGTTTGAATAGCCATCACCCATTTTTATTTTGTTTTCAACATCTAGCAAAATAATGTCCACCGCCCGAAGCACAAAGAAGTCAGATTAAAGAAAATGGTATTTGGGATTTGGGGATAGATTGACCAGGCATATTTGAATATGTCGTTCCATGTTTAGGCCGGTGAACATTCACTATTGGGGAAAAAAAAAGTTATCATGTCTAGTAAAATACTTGTAGCCAACAAAATCATTTTTAAATTAATAGGTGCAATGTCAGGTTAATCTTTGCACACACACACATATATATATATATATATATATATATATATATATATATATATATATATATATATATATATATATATATATATATATATAGCGGCTCTACTGCTATTAATGCATTATTCTTCAAGTACGAATTTGCTTCTCCCGGCCGCTGGCGTATTTCGTATGGAAAACGTTAAAATTTCCTTTTCTCTCTACCGTGCAACGATAGCCTAGGGATAAGATCACTGACTGATGTCAAATCGTTCGGTTTTCGATCCCGGCTTGAAGCAATCGGACGTCTAGCCACACTGAAGAGCTGCGATACAGTGAAACATTCTATCTATGGGTGCCAATATATATATATATATATATATATATATATATATACGTGCGTTTGTGTGGGGGTGCGCTCGAGGCATCCATCGGTTTCGAGAAACATTGAAACTTCGCTCAAGCTTCTCAAGGCGGTGCAGCCACACGGAAGGGACAGTTTTGAATGCAAATTAGGACATATATATATATATATATATATATATTATTATTATTATTATTCAACTGAATATATACACTGATTAATAAAATTAAAAATCAGGGCGTTGACTCAAATACGGGCACCCACTAAAAATAACATTTACAAAACTGAAGCTAGCAGCTATACATTTAAAGGTATCTGAATCAGAAACACCCTTTTCTTAATGTAGGCAATTTCAAAACTTGCTCTGCCAAGCTGGCTCTCTGGCCGAACTAGTAGAGGTGCACTTTGGCATGAAAAGTGATTTCCCTGACAGTAAAAAAGGATTCCTGCATGATTTTAAGCCAGTGAATTGCGACTTTTAATAAAATAACATAAAAACAGCGTTAGCAACTCAAACATGTTTACCCCATGAAAATAACGTTTTGAGTAATATATATATATATATATATATATATATATATATATACATATATATACAGTGTAACCCGGATATAAGAGACCCGGATATAAGAGAAACCCGGATATAAGAGAGATTTTCTCTGGTCCCAAATTAGAGCCCATACTTACCTAAACAAAATAGATCAAACACGGATATAAGAGAAACCCTGATATAAGAGACTTCTCCGGTCCCGACAACTCTCTTATATCCGGGTTACACTGTATATACATTTGGGACCAGAGAAAATCTCTCTTATATCCGGATTTCTCTTATATCCAGGTCTCTTATATCCGGGTTACTCTGTATATGTGTGTGTGTATGTGTGTGTTTACTTAAAAGGTTATATTTAGACGTGTTTGAGAAATCTGCAATTAAACGAAAAAAAGTTATTTTACGCAACAAATATTTATCTTTATCATAATCTCATTCCTTGTCAGTTCACTTAATTCAGTATGGCGTAATAAAAGTTTCAGATCAAATTTTGGCGCATAAGCCTGTCAGGTATCAGATATATTGATCTGCCCTTCTTTATCGACTGTTGTACGTATATACGCATAACAACTTGTAAGCATAAACAAATAAAAAAAAAACATCGATTTTGAAAATTTTAATATAATCGACATATGAAATAAAGTGTTTCGAAATATATGGATTTTGTCCGAGCGTGTAAACGTTTCTATGTGTCGAGGTATGTGAAGAATTGTTTGAAAATAGAAAGAAGAAAACGGGTAATTACATTTTTAAAATATATCTTGAATATAATTTTTTTTTATTTTAACAGGTCATCTTTTTTTTTATTTTTAGGAAATGTCTAGATGAATACAGTTTTCATTCCAACTAAAATATATTAAGAACAGTTTTATACACTATATTATTCAAACAATTTTCCTCATCTTTGTCGCCATTTTTATCACAACGTTTCGGCCGTTGTATTCTCTGGCCTTCTTCAGGTGGTTGGAATGTCGAACTGAACCCTTTATTTCGCCCACTGGGGTAAACTGCTCAAGTTTCATGTGCCATGTATAATGGAAGTCAGTTATCTCCTGTTAATTCCCCTCTAAAATTTTTCCATGTGGATAAAGGCGTTAGTTAGATCCAATGACAGGACCCAAAGAGTGTGAGTTCAATACCTGGTTAAGGCGGTGGAAAATTTTGAGAAGGAAATTAACAGAAAATAACTGACATCCATTAGACATGGCACGTGGAACTAGAACTACCCCCGTGAGCGAAATAAAGGGTTCAGTTCGACACTTCAACCAACTGAAGAAGGCCGGAGCGTACAACGGCAGAAACGTTGTGATAAATATGGCGACAAAGATAAGGACAATAGGCTGAATAATTTAAATGGTGTACATAATGCCTCATCTCAGAAATATAGACAGATACTGAAGGATGGGATTAATATGGCAACAAAGATGAGGACAATAGTCCGAATAATGTAAGTAGTGTACATAATACCCCATCTCAGAAATATAGACAGATACTGAAGGATCGGATAAATATGGCAATAAAGATGAGGACAATAGTCCGAATAATGTAAATAGTGTACATAATACCTCATCTCAAACATATAGACAGATACTGACGGATCGGATAAATATGGCAACAAAGATGAGGACAATAGTCCGAATGATGTAAATAATGTACATAATACCTCATCTCAGAAATATAGACAGATACTGAAGGATCGGATAAATATGGCAACAAAGATGAGGGCAATAGTCCGAATAATGTAAATAATGTACATAATACCTCATCTCAGAAATATAGACAGATATTGAAGGATCGGATAAATATGGCAATAAAGATGAGGATAATAGTCCGAATAATGTAAATAGTGTACATAATACCTCATCTCAAACATATAGACAGATACTGACGGATCGGATAAATATGGCAACAAAGATGAGGACAATAGTCCGAATAATGTAAATAATGTACATAATACCTCATCTCAGAAATATAGACAGATACTGAAGGATCGGATAAATATGGCAACAAAGATGAGGACAATAGTCCGAATAATGTAAATAATGTACATAATACCTCATCTCAGAAATATAGACAGATACTGAAGGATCGGATAAATATGGCAACAAAGATGAGGACAATAGTCCGAATAATGTAAATAGTGTACATAATACCTCATCTCAGAAATATAGACAGATACTGACGGATCGGATAGATATGTCAACAAAGATGAGGACAATAGTCCGAATAATGTAAATAATGTACATAATACCTCATCTCAGAAATATAGACAGATACTGAAGGATCGGATAAATATGGCAACAAAGATGAGGACAATAGTCCGAATAATGTAAATAATGTACATAATACCTCATCTCAAACATATAGACAGATACTGACGGATCGGATAAATATGGCAACAAAGATGAGGACAATAGTCCGAATAATGTAAATAATGTACATAATACCTCATCTCAAACATATAGACAGATACTGACGGATCGGATAAATATGGCAACAAAGATGAGGACAATAGTCCGAATAATGTAAATAATGTACATAATACCTCATCTCAGAAATATAGACAGATACTGAAGGATCGGATAAATATGGCAACAAAGATGAGGACAATAGTCCGAATAATGTAAATAATGTACATAATACCTCATCTCAGAAATATAGACAGATATTGAAGGATCGGATAAATATGGCAACAAAGATGAGGACAATAGTCCGAATAATGTAAATAATGTACAAAATATCTCATCTCAAAAATATAGACAGATACAGAACAATTTTTTTTTTTTTTTTTTTTTTTGGTGTCTGGCTAATATTTGTTCGGCAATTCTAGAAAATAATTTTCCAGCAGAAAGTGTTCGGTCGATACTCGCAAAATGGTTCGTGATTTTACATTTGTTCAGATATATCTCGAATGATGATTGCAAAAATGTCTCCAATGAAATTGGATTCAAATTTGATTTGATCAACGTGAGGCCACTTTCTCTTCACTGTCGACAACGACTGAGGCAATCTTTATTAATTATTACACATTTACTTTCATCAGAATTTCAATCATTAATAGCTATGAATTTATTTCACTAAAACCGAGACAAAAACAAAACTAGACGAAACCTGTCAGTTTTCGTATGTGTAAATGTGTATTCTTCGTGTTTATATATAAAAAAAAACTCAAGATTTTTTAAAATTAACCTTCCGACTGCATAAAGCTCAATACAGACACATACACGAATATATAGACATACAAGCGCACACATGCACGCAAACGCACACACACACACATATATATATATATATATATATATATATATATATATATATATATATATATATATATATATATATATATATATATATATACCGGGTGTAACAGCAAAATTGTCCAATTATTATATAAAAGTTTTGAACCATGTGTCTTAAAAAAGATTAAAGTTATCTTACTGGAAGCCTCCGAGGTTTTCATGACACTATTGGACTCTACTTTGAGCAAAAGAAAATATTTAGCTCTAGGTTGCAATGATGATCCACCGTGTTGTTGTGACCTCCTCATCCAATCCCCCCCCTCTACTGTTTCCTTTTTAAAACTTATTCACCGTTCTCTTGATAGTTTTTAGTGGACTTTGAAGATGGAAGTCAGATTATGAATATTGGTACAATTACTTATGGCCCGAATGATCTTTTTGCTCTGACCATTGCTAAGATAGATAGATAGATAGATAGATAGATAGATAGATAGATAAAGAAACAATTTAAATATTTTCGTAAAACATTTTATAGACGATAGATAGATAAGAAACGGCAGATAGATAGATAGATAGATAGATAGATAGATAGATAGATAGATAGATAAAGAAACAATTTAAATATTTTCGTAAAACATTTTATAGACGATAGATAGATAAGAAACGGCAGATAGATAGATAGATAGATAGATAGATAGATAGATAAAGAAACAATTTAAATATTTTCGTAAAACATTTCATAGACGATAGATAGATAAGAAACGGCAGATAGATAGATAGATAGATAAGAAACGATAGATAGATAGATAGATAGATAGATAGATAGATAATAATATTCTCTTGAAAGAAACCATTTAAATATTTTCGTAAAACATTTTATAGACGAAAGTGCATTAAATGCTGTTTAAAGGGCTTTTCTTATGCGAACTATTTTTTTTTTTATTTAATTTACGATAACAAGGATTGAAATGATTATCTAATCCGGTTACAATTTTCATTCATTCTTAAGATTTTTGTTTATCTACTGGCATAAGACATCCTATCCCTAGAGGGAAATTATGGCAACTTTATTATTTCTGCTGACTACATTTGAACCTAATTTGCTGTGTGATACAATGTGTCCACTGGTTAGGACACTAACGTGGTCACATGAACTGTACAACCGGCTACCTCGAGATTTTTAAAGAAAACCTCCGTAGTCTATATGTAGGAAAAGGAAATAAATATATTTATGTCGCATGTTCTGGTGATTTGTTTTTCTATTTGGTACCTCTAATCCATGAATTGAAGTGCAGTACTAGATTTGCAGCTAGGTCTCACCATTTAAATGTTGAAATTGGTAAATGTATCCGTTAGTTCTATTCTGATAGTTCCTTCCCTTGTGTCTTTCACTTGTGAAACTCTTTTGCTTTCTTGCCAATTACAATCTAGAACAATTTAAATGCAACGTTAATCGCCATTTTTGCCTCCTTATCTTTTAATTGTCCTTTCTTCTCGTTAAGTTTCCTTCACTCTTTTTTCCTTCATCCTCAGTAGACGCATGCGTTTTAGTCCCTTTATTGCCTTACTTGAGGTGAAATGATTTAATAAATAAAACCCTTGGGATTAAGTACCACTATGTCGGAAGGCAAAGGATTCCAGTCATTGAATTATATAGTGAAGCGGCATTCTAGATAGGGACCATGGATAAGCCACCTATAAAGATAAAGAGTCACAGGAAAATGCTGTCAGAGTAAGAAAACTGTGGAGACATACAGAGACTGGTGAAGATGGAGTTCTCGCTGGCCGAAGAGAAGATCTGTTTCATTAGTCTATTGTGAGAGAAGACTGAAATACTAGCAAAGATATCGTAAGTCTCATTCCCGGGCAAGGTCAGCGGAATCCATGATTAAAGAACCCAACATACGAGGGTCATTCAAAAAGTTTAAACTTCACCCAGAAGGAGTTAGAGAAACAAGATAGTTTTTCACTATTTTTCAGTATAGTCCCCACTGACATCAATGCACTTTATCTAACTTTTTGCAGTCCCATCATGGAAGAAGGCGACATCCCGTTCTTCCAAAGATCCCACCCCATGCTCTCATTATTGTTTCCAAAATGGCTACCAACCAGGTGTGATTTGGGTTTAAGAAAATGGAAGAAGTCAGATGGAGCTAAATCTAGTGAGAAAGGAGGATGGGGTTGCAAGCCATTGTTGACTGATTCGGCTACTGAAACCTGAGTATTGTTAACGGGCACGTTATCCCGGAGCAAGATCACACTTGCCCTCAGCTTCCTTATGTGTTTTCACTTGATTGCTTCCTTCAGTTGTCCTAATTTTGATGCATCGGCCATTAATAGTTTTTTTTCTTCTCCTTTTCCATGTAGTCTATCATGATTACGCCTTCAGTAACTCCAAAAACAGAAGCCATCATCATCTTACCAACAGACGCAGCCTGATTGAAATTCTTCACGGGATGAGAACTTTTCAGCATCTGCTCTGGAGTCAGAATGCTTGTGATCCAGACAGCTTGGTTATCCTCAAGATCTCAGTTAAAACAGACCGAATCAGAACGAATATCTATGGACTTAAGTATCCGCTTGACAGTAATATGTCTGCCATGCAAATCAATTTGCTCGTCAGTATTTGAGGTTTCTGGCCGACCCGACTGAAGGCCATCTTCCGTGCTGTCCCTTCTCCGCTTAAATTCTACACAGTTGCACAGGAAGAGGAGTCCTCAGCAAGTGTCTGTACCCTGTCCTCATGGATTTCCTTGGGTGTCATGCCATTCTTTTGCTGACATTTTAATACTGCTCGATCCTCTGTTTTGTCTATTTTGGGATTTTTCGCACTCCCCTCACCTTTGTATGGGCTTCACCTGCACTGTAATTAAGGCTGAAATCTGGATTTGTGTTTTTCTAATTCATAAGATGTGGTAGTGTGTTGTCACAATAAAAATGTTCAGCTATGGCTCTTTTTACTGGGTGAGGTTGAGAACTTTTTGAACGACCTTCATATAACTGGCTGATAAAGAGTGACTACTTTATATATAAATGCAGATAGATAGATAGATAGATATGAACAGAGTGGGTTAAATAGATAGATAGATAGAGAGAGAGGGGGATAATGAATAGACAGGGATAGACAGATAATTACTGATAGATAGATAGAGAGAGAGAGAGAGAGAAGGGAGAGAGAGTGATAATTAATAGACAGGGATAGACAGATAATTACTGATAGATAGATAGATAGATAGATAGATAGATGCATTTATAAAAAAAATTGAAATCCAAAATGCTATGGTGAGTTGCATCAACTTGTTCATCAGCGAGTTGAGGTTTTTGGATGACCTGACTGAGTCATCATCTGTGCTGTACCTGCCCTGCTTGAATTTTGCAGCCCACTTGTTCATGGTTGCATAGGAAAGGGTAATCCACAGCAATTGTCTGTCCCATGTCCTCATGAATTTCCTTGGGTGACATACCTTTCTTTTGCAGATACTTTATGACTGCTTGGGCCTCTGTTTTGTCCATTTTTAGATTTGTCACATACCACTCACCTTTGTATGAGCGTCACCTGCACAGAAATTAAGACAGAAATCTAAATTAGTTGTTCTAGTTTTATAAGAAGTAGTAGTTTGTTGTCACAGCAAAAATGTTCAGGTATGGCTCTTCTTTCAGGGTGAGGCTTAAAACTTTTGGAACAACCCTCGTATATTCGTATTTTCTTTCCTCTGCCTGTGATATATCTCTGTCTCGCTCTGCCTCTCTCTGTCTCGCTCTGCCTCTCTCTGACTCCCTATGTCCCTCATCTCTCCTTCTTCTCACGACTCTCCGTTACCATTCCCTCTTTCTCTCCTTCTGCCCGCTCTTTGTACCCATCTCCCTCTGTGCCCTTCTCTCACTCCCTCTGTCCCCCTCTCTCTCTATCTTTCTCTCTCTCTATCTTTCTCTCTCTCTCTCTCTGTGGGTGTTATTTGCCGAATGTAGATGTACATTCGGCAAATAACACCCACACACAGAGAGAGAGAGAGAGGTGTTCCCCTTTGTGCGACAGAAGTTGGCCATACAGTGAAAAAAATGACAGAAGGAACCCTATCGTATCTTCACAGTTGGCGTAATAGGTATTAGCCAGGAAAATAGAGTTAACAGGCTGAGCCACCCTGCTGTCACAGACGAGATGCCGCAAGCCTCTGGCTATTCTATCGCTACTTGCATGGAAAGTGTTCGTTGGTTGAACAGCCGTAACCTTCACGACTAGGCCCGGCCCGGGGCTAGGATCAAAGTGTAGTACGCTGCCTTTGTGAGCTTCCGAGTCGGCATCTGTCGAACTCTCTGCATTAGCAGAGGAACCCCGACGAAACCTTTGCCGAAGGGCAAGGTTTCGTCCGGGGAGGTAGATAGGGCCTGAACCCGTCTAGGCGGGTTCAAAAAGGCTATATTTTTGGCCGAGCCTACGGGCTCGGGGATACCCACATTAAACCGGCTTTGTGCCATTCTATCCTCGTGGGTGGATTGATAAATACTAACCTCCACGACTAGGAACCACCCCCATTCCCCCCGTATTCGATTGATGATCAGTAAGTTCCACTCGAGCAGCTTCATCTCGCCAACCACTGCTCTGTCGAACAGACTCCCAAGAGCATGTGCGTATGGTAGGATAAGTTGGTTAAAAGTTTTGAATAAGTAAGTGACATATCGCTTCTTCTCTCCCCCAGCTATGGGTAAATAACAGGACAGACCGGGTTCTATAACCTTGGATAGCAATTGGTCTACCGCAGAAACAAATAGCAACATACTGCGGGAAAAAAAAATCTGCCTCGTTAGTCATATATCGAAAGGTACATGATCGCCTTGGCATGTATAACACATGACTCATAACTGATTCAAGTGATATACAATGGTAGAGATTTGTGAAATTATTGCATGTAGGAGCAAAATAGGTTTGTGTGATTTGCATTCTGATATAGATAGCCTGGTCAATATACTTCCAGAATTTTGAGCAGTTTGGTCAATCAGGGATATTAGCTGAGATTAGTTTATTTTGTCTGTGCTTTTCAAGTTCTAAGCTTAACCGTTATCTACCCAAAATATCCGCATAAACTGTGCCATCTACCACGAGTGGCTCCCGGGCCTTGAACACTTCAAGTTCAATTTCATTCAGAGTCTGTTGCGTTCATTTCAGATTAATTCCTATTGGTAATATATTGATCAATCTCCTTCTCTTCCCTATTCGTACAATATTAAGATTAACTGAGCTTTCTTACATAGCTTGGGCAACCAATTTAAGAGAAGCAAGCGTCTTTAAATTAAAACTGTGGAGAAACCAACCAAAAATTATTTAAATATATTTCCCAAAAATATTCTTAGCAGTGCACGGCAAACAGATAAAACATCTGTGAAGTGCCATGATCGCTAACATCCGGAACGGACAGTTTTCGTTGTGTGCCGTGTCCACAACCACCTGTCCCTTGTTGCCATTAATAACCTTTGTCTTTCCTAGGCCCTTGTTTTGACATCCATTTAGTCCAGATCATTAAGTATGTTACGCGCTGTTTTCCTCTGTCCCTCGGGCTCTGTATGTCATGTGAGTATCACATTTTCCAAACCGTCTTTTCTCATAATGGGCCCTAGAAA